TCCGCCCGCGGTCGATGAGCGTGTTATCAGTCAGCTCACACTCACCACATACAGCGTCTTCCATATTTGTCCCCACTCCCTGAGCACCGAGGTGATCTCGTGGACTAGAGGGTTCTCACGCGGGATGACGGCGCCGGTGCCGCTGCCACAGAGCCAGTGGTACCGGTCAGCGGTGGCGGTACACGACGGCACCGCCACCGGCGGGCCACACGACACAGGCCGGTCGACGGGCGACGCGACGCCTCGCCACGGCTGGCCCCGCCGGCAGGGCAGCACCCCGCGCCAGGACGGCACGCGGAACGGCCACGGGTCGGTAAACGGAGGGTACGGCGCACCCACGGGCGGTCGGAACGGCCACGGGTCGGTAAACGGAGGGTACGGCGCACCCACGGGCGGTCGGAACGGCCACGGGTCGGTAAACGGAGGGTACGGCGCGCCCACCAGCGGTCTGAACGGTCAAGGGTCGGAGCACGGAGGGCGCGGTGCGCCCACGGGCGGTCGGAACGGTCACGGGTCGGTAAACGGAGGGTACGGTGCGCCCACCAGCGGTCTGAACGGTCACGGGTCGGTAAACGGAGGGTACGGTGCGCCCACCAGCGGTCTGAACGGTCACGGGTCGGTAAACGGAGGGTACGGTGCGCCCACCAGCGGTCGGAACGGTTACGGGTCGGTGACGGAGGGCACGGCACACCCACGAACGGCCAGAACGGTCATGGGTCGGTAGACGGAGGGAAAGGCGCGCCCACGAGCGGTAACGGAGTGCACGCTGAAGTAGCTCCAGTTGGGCGCGGAACGCGATCGCCTGCCTTCGCAGACCGGAAATACCACGCAATCAGACTTGAAGCAGGTGTACAGGACCACATACAGCGACTAGGAATTTCAAACTCGAATCGATATTGTCGTCCAGAACAGGCACGACTGACAAAATGCTGGACCTATCTTCATAGAGCAAAAACGTGAACTTGCGAACTTGGAAGTTAAGTCGCGTGCTTTGCGTCGGAAACCAGGCGATTTTGCTTGACTTTCGCTCATGCAGCCACTCTCAAATAGGAAACTTCGTTTGGACTAAGCTGTTTCTAGTCTTTTAGTCTAAAGTCCACAAAACGTGACTTAAAAGTGCTCAGGCTCGTCCCTTCGTTTCCTGGAACCTGACCCTCATGAGGAATGGGCACTCACAGTGACTTGTCGACAATGCACTTCTTGATGCGGACGAAGCCGCGGGGGAAGATGCCGCGGAAGGCCCTGTTCTTCAGTGTGTAGCCGTAGTACCAGTCTCCGCATCGCTGCAGAATATGCAGCGTCTCGCCGATGGAGAACTGGATCTGTTCCGGTCCCGCGCCCACGAAGTTGTAGACGGCTGCCGGCCCCACAACAAGTGAAAGGGGGGGGGAGAGGGGTGGAAGGGGGGGGGCGAGGCACGAGCAGCGGCAGCAGCTTTAGTCGCCCTCGGACGGGAGAACGACCGCCAACTGTCTGAGACTAGAACCATGACGTCCATACCCTATGGTTTCCCCGATGACATCCCAATGCGTAAGGGAATCAGTACCCGGCGTCAGATCGCCTTCCTATGCCTATACCGTCCGTAAAATGGTCGTTCCAAAGCAGGGGTTCTGCCATATACGTCTCGCGCAGCAGGGAGTGTGCTTTTCAGGTCTTAATTTGACTGCACACAAGTGGTCTTGGATTAAATGTGTCCGATTTCGACCGCATGCCTCGTTCGCCTGCAATCATAGTTAAAAGCTCAGATCTCCCACTTCAAAACGCTGTTTTCTACGCATTGCTCTGCTGGACTCCTGGCTCACCGCACCAAGGAGTATGGTCACTTTCTTCAGAATAAGTTAGTCCTATCATATCCCCCCCCCCCAAAACAAAATTTTGGTTGAGCAGACCTAGTGTTTACAATGTTTTTCCCACTATTCGTGAGGCAGTTTATAACGTCTTATGCCGATAGTACGCCACTCCGACCATTGAAGTCAAGCAGAAGCCTGACGTCTCCGGCTCCCGTCTCCAAAGGCCCGCCCTCAGACTCGCGGCGAGTTTCGGGCGTTCATACCGGACGTTTCGGGCGTTAATACCGGATGGCTACCCGCCAGCAAACTCCTGAGTACCAGAGCACCGTTCGCTCAATGAAACGGGGCCGTTTTCAGCCTCGTTTAGCTATTTGCGCGTAGCGCGCACCACTCAGGTATATCGCCTACTGCGTGCTTCCCGCGACCGTGACGCGCCTCCCACTAACCCCGCCCACCAGCCCCGCCCATTCATTGTGGAGCGTTTGTGGTGGCTTGTTCGCATGACACGATCTCTTCCAACACGCAGCGTATGCCAGAGGCATCCCCAGTTTGACCCGGCCCAGGCCGGCGGGTGTCCGCCCGCCCAGCCTCCCCGCGTCGGCGCTGCGCCTGCCACCACCGGGGCAGAGCGGCGCGTCCGGTTGCTCTGGCGGCCTCCCTTATCGGGCCGGCGTCCGGCCGCCCCCGGAAGGAGGGCCGCGCCCGGTCGGTGCGCGCCGCTCCGCCCACAGCGGTACAGCGGCCGGCCGTCGACGGCCGATACTGGCCCCTCCATGAGCGTGCAGCACCCGGCCCTCGATCGGCACGCCGAGTTACGCGTAGCCAAAGAGGACGGGACCGCGCAACACTCACCGGGCCACCGCAGCCCGATTGTGTGACGGAGGAAACCACGACCGCCGCTGGTGATGGTGATGCGTTGACATACATATGTCTTGTGTCACACATTCCCATTCCTGTGACGGTGCACAGTATGCTTACAGCAGCACAATACATCACCTAACACGCAATAAGTTCGCTGCCAGGTCAGTGCTCTCTCTTACCCACGGCGAACCGCTCAGCATCCTTGACTGGTACCCACGTCTGCACCGTCATGGTGGCAGCATTGTCCAACTATTTCCTGTGAATAGGGAAGTGCAGGTTTGGCTGAGCATGCCATCCTGTATGGATGTCACTTATAAAACCAACAGGGATAGAAAAAGCCCATGACTAGGCAAAAGCTTGCATCATGTATGCTTGTTATCTGTTTTATCAAGGGCAAAACATTGTGGGAGGATCTCTGAATCCTGGTTCTTTGCACACAATACTAGGTAGGCAAATATTTGCCAACATGCTGTGTAGCAAATGCTTGCAAGCAAAAATTTGCACCTGCAAATTCCATACCCACAGATGTTTTTATCACCAACATTTCCTGATGCATACACAGATTCTACCCATACTGTTCATTTGTACACCCAGTAACTTTCAAATATCCTGAAAGTCTTGCCTTTCAGCATACACTAAGGAGATTGGAGAGGTTTACACTAAAATAAAGAAGGGTTGTGGAAAACCTCATCAATTTTAGATCTATGCAGGGCCAACAACAGCCTATATAAGGGACCTTCAAGTCTGATGGAAACAGTGCAGTAAGACAATATCAACCTAAAATAACATTAATCCACATCATGATAAGATAACATGTATTTTTAGCAATAGTATAAATATATCACTGGAAAAGCTGCTGCATGAAATATTTGGCATTAGCCACCAGGTTCCACCCAACTGTCCCGCCATTTTATGCACTGACTTGTGCTTTGCCAGGATTGCATGCATTTGAAGTTGATCTAACCAAAAAAGCAATTGCCTACTTGACAAAAATGTTCTGTGGGCAACTGGGCATACAATTTTTTTTAAATATCTTCCTAAAAATTTAAATTATACATATTGTATAACCAACTAAGCATGACTTGACTTAGGTATGACACTTAGAGTGTGATGAGAAGCTGCTCAAACACAGACCTCAGTCCTGGAACCTTACAAGACATGGATTATGCACATAACAGGTACAGGAATGATCAGGGAAATGCAGCATTTGTAACTTGAGAAAATGTGATGTAACATTAGAAAATGCTGCCTAGCTTATGCACAGATCATGTGTGGGCTGTAGGTTGCCTCTTGAGGAAACTTAAATGATTTTTGCCAATAATTTTAGCATATAAGTTTTTCACTACAGGAGTGTGGCTTTATATATATCATAATACATATACTAGGAAAACAACGATTTTGAATTAAATCTTACAACTGTTTTTGTTTGATGTCTCAGAAAAATACTAAGGTACCCCCAAAGAAATATATTTGATAGTGTAAACAGAAGACCTGTTTCGGGGGGTGAATTATTGTTGAACATTGAACATCATTTGCTCACACGCAACGATACATACGCAATTCACTATCATCACAAATAGGCCCGGAATGCACGAATACCTCATGGACAGGCTCATGGCAATGATTGAACACCTAGCAACCGGCCAAATTTACCTGCGATGCCCCTACGTCCGTCGGTGCGCGAACCAATACTACGTTCAAGGTGTGTGTCTTGATGTACGATTCAAAATTGAGATATTAGCTGTCTCTCTGACGTCAATGGTCATAATTTGTTATCGATTTATGGCGATTCGTATTTAGACACAGGAGAGTAACCAAAAGTGCTGCTAACATGGGTGCACTTAAACTGCATCATGAATGTACAGGCATTTAATATCTTTTCTGGGTGGTTGATATAAATAACACCGGGGACTGAATGCTTGTTTGGAAAACTTTTGTCGTTTAATATGTTAATTGTTCACGATGTATAAGCTGATTCAGCAATGATCAAAAATAGTCAGAAGCAATTTGGCCTGCGAGCAGAAAAGACCTAGGCACGTGAGCCTACCAATAGGCTTATGTGGTATACGCAGTGAATTCATCAATAGTATTTGTCGTGAAATGGTTGCAACGACAGGCAGATAGACCTTGACATTCGAGGTTAAATTATTTTCCAAGTAATAGGTTCATAATACTTCGGCTAAATGATATGCATACACTGGCAATCTGGTTACTTTCTTTGGTATAAAAACAAAATGCTCGTCATGGATCGATAACAAATTGTGACCACTGGCGTCATCAGCCAGCTGATACCTCCCCACTTCGCACACCAATACACGCAGCGCAAATTTAGCGCAACTTCGCGCAATACCATACACGATATATGCGTTTCGTGTCCAAGGTCAGTTGGTGGTGTACGTGCTGCAGGCGATGCGTGGTGGGGAACACTGACACTGACACAGAGTATTCAGGTATCTGGAGTGGTCCATGATTTTCGTATCTGCAACATTTTAAATATTCCTAACATGATATGCTTCGTAATTCTCAAAACAGATTGAAAAGACTGAATCCAGCGCAGAAATCGTGCAGTTTTGATAGCAGTAAGTGTGCTAGGCATTTGAGTATTTCAAGCACCACGCAAGTATGAATTCATATTTGTGTGGTGTTAAAAGGATAAATTAATTTATGGCACATTTGCTGATGCCAACAATGTATGGCTTGTGTGCTTTGATTTGTTGGCCTTATGTGGAGCCTAAGCTGAGAATTGCCCCAATTTCACTCTTTCTTGACCTTTTGACAGTCGGCCATCATTCATGGTATCTTTTGTGTGTGGTTGCTCAGTAGGACTAATAATCACTTACAAGACAGTAATATTAGCCTTATTCCTCGGAGAGAGAAAAAAAAGCGAGAATGGAGATTTAGTTTGGCTGATATTTTGACAACATACCTTTATTGAAACAATAGCAGAAGTGAATTCACTTCTGCTGTTGGTTTGATAAAGGCACACTAACTTTGTGAATTTGACTACTGTTGATTGTTATTCACTTTTGTAAGCGAATTCACTTCTGCTGTTATTTCCATAAAGCATGTTGCCAGAACATCAATCCAACTATATCTCCATTCTCCTTTTATTACTGAGAAATAAAGCTAATAGTACTGTCTTAGCTAGCTGAATAATATTCCTCACTAACACACTGAACAACTAAGCACACTTTTATGTTGACTGCTAGCACTGTTTTCTAGTATTGTGTGTTGAATAAGAAAAAGTGTAACCGAGTTAGTGTAAGTCATCATAAGGTTATTGAGACTGTGTCAAGATGAGGCATGTGTATTTTGTCCTGTACACTGTGTGAGAATTGGCTGTAAAGATAGACATGTGGGATCAATATGCTTTTGGTCATTGCATCATGATGTATGTCTTCATTAACAAGTTGATGAATATTAAGCACATTATAGATGAAGGTGCTTGTTTAGCAATATCAGGCATTTATTGAAGTCTAAAATGCATACCTGATCCAGACCCTGTGCCCTCAATTTTGGATTTGCTTAACTGCCACATTAACCATAAGAGAAGAGGGGCTGTGGAGTCGAGACTTGTAAGTTTGCTTTTTCTCATTCAATGGTAAGCTGCTGCACCTTGAAAATTGGAGTCAACTTTAACATTGTATTTGTTATAGATGTAGTATCCTGCAGATGTTTAAGTTCTAAGTCTCAATCTCACATTGGCATATTTTTGTGTACTTCTAACAGTGTTCAGTAGCTGTGGGATATTAGAGACTGGGAAAAGGTACCCATGTTTATTGCCCCATGGTATGCTCTGCATTGATCTGTGATGTTCTGGAAGATTGCATCCATATTGGTCATTTGAAATTGGTCATTGGTAATGGTAAAATGGTAAAATAATGGTAAAATAAAAATGGTAATTGGTCATTTGAAAAAGAAAGCTGATTTTGTTAGAAAAAACATGATCATGGTAGACAATTGGGCATTGCATTGGTCTGAAAAGACCAAGTTTGCCAAAGAACAAAAGCCAAAATCCATAGATCAGCTGTGATCCAAACACAGCAGTTTGGCAAAATATGTAAAACTGATAGGAAAGGCCAGAGACTGTTAACACCCCAGTTGGAATGGGTTCAAGATTAAGGTGGAAAGACTGCAGTGGAGCAAATCAGCTCCTTCTGCATACAAAGGAGGCCATTTCCCAATAACTAGACAGCTGAATTTCATCATGTTGTGTGCTAAGTGCTGCAAGCACTTCTGTCAGTTAGTCACATCCCTGGTTGAGTGACACAATGTTCGGTTCGCAGGACTGGCCATCCAAGGATGAGTGACTCAGAGGGTTTAGTCGGCGCGGCCGCCACCCCGGCCGGCCAGGATCTCGTTGATGGCTTCAAGCGGCCGTTGGCGGCAGCACCTCGCCGCAAGCGCTTCCGCAAGACGGTGCTGGACGAGGACAACTACATCCGTGAGCTGGAGGGCATCGTCGAGCGGGACTACTTCCCCGACCTGAAGCGGCTGCGCGCTCAGGACGAGTACCTGGCGGCGGTGCAGTGCGGTGACGCCCCGCGACAGCAGGAGCTGCGCGCGCGCTACGGCTCGGGCGCGCGGCCCGACACGGCTCAGTCGTGGTCGACGGAGGCACCGGCCGTCCCAGAGACGCCCACCCCGGGTGGAGCCGTCGACCGGGCCGAAGACGAGCCGGCCCAGCCGCTCTCGCTCAACCAATACCTGGCCACGCACACCAGCGAGGACAACGAGAGCTTCGGTGAGATGATGGCCGAGGCGAGCCGCCGGCACCGCGTGCGCCACCCCTGGCTGTACGCGGCCGAAGCGGCGCACAACGACCGGCAGGCGGCGCTACTGTCGCTGGACGTGCCTTCGCTGGAGGAGCAGGCGGACGGCGGGCCGCGGCCCGGCCAGGTGGCCACTTGGCGCTACCGCTCCGAAAACGACCTTATGTACGCGCCGCGGGGGCTGGCGCTGACCGCCGAGGACAAGATCGAGCGGTCCCGCCTCCGTCAGGAGATCGATGTGGCCAACACGCGCTTCAAGAGCACGCCCTTCAACGAGGCGGAACAGCGGGCGGAGGTGGGTCGCGCGGCGCAGGTGCAGGCGCGGCGCCGCCTCGGCGGCAAGGTGGATGTGGACGGCCGTGAGGTGGTGGAGCCGGCCGGCCGTCAGCTTCTGCGCACGCCCTCGCCGGCGCCCGGCGTGGCCGAGTCGCCGCTGATGACCTGGGGTCAGATCGACGGCTCGCCCTTCCGCCTGGACGGCGGCGCCACGCCGGTCGCCGCGCCCCCCGCCAGCCCGTTCCGGATTGTGGCAGCCTCGCGGCGCGAGCAGCTGGCGCTGGCGCTGGCCGAGCGCGCCTCGTCGCGCCACCGCGACAAGAAGGGCCGCGCACTGGAGGCGGCGCGCCGCCACGTGGCGTCGCCGTCGGCCGCCGCGCTCGACCGGCTCGCGTCGCTGTCGCCGGCGGCGCGGCGGCTGGCGCGCGCCGGCCGCTCCGCCGACCGCGCGCTGCGCGCCTCCTACACGCCGAGCCCGGCGCGGCGGCGGCGGCCGGCGCCAGCCACGCCCACGCCCACGCCACTGACGCCAGCTGCGGCGTCCCCGGCGCCGGCCGCCAGCATCACTGACAACCTGCTGCAGCTTCCGGCGCGGAAGCGGGCGGCCGACTTCTTCACGTGAGCGGTGGTAGCCGTGGTGTGTTTGGCCTACTGTGGCTGTTGTGGTGGGGCAGTCTGTGTTGGCGGCAGCATTGTCAGCCAGCGTGCTCAGCGGAAGGCCGCAGTCATGTTCGACGCACGCGCCATCGGGATGGTGGTTGTCTAGTAAAATCCATGAAGTCATTATCTACAAGCCTGCCGTCCGGGCGGGGATTTAGGTGGCAGCTCAATCCAAGCTGAAGTCTTAAACATGACACATAGATGGTGCTGGCTGTGCGCGCGGATGGCACGCAAGGACAGGGTTCTGTTGTGTGTGTGTTCCCCTGCGTATCGTTTGTTGTGCCTTGTGGAAGGCATCCTGGCCATGTGATGTTCATTTCATAGGCGTGTGTACATAACGTTGGTGTCAATATGGTATTTGGTGCATACGTCGTCGCCTAAGTGCTTGTTTCATAATCGTGGTGTGTGGAAAGCTATCATGGGCGTCATCTGAGGCCACGCCATTGCGAAGATGGTGGTGATTAAGGCGTTCAACACAGCCAGCTATGCTTTGTGAGTGACCTGTCATGTAAATTGAATACATTAATCGTTTCACCAAAATGTGTGGAGGTTCAACTTCTATGAGTTTTGCGTTGCCAGGTGGTTTAAAGGAAGGTCACACGATTAGATGACCGCTACTAAAAATGCTTTATGCAGCAGCACGTCATTCCGGGTCCGAGGAACCCGCATTCTAATCTAATCTAACTTCAGAACATCGGTGACGGGTATCGGGATCAGGGGGGGGGGGGGGGGGGTGACGCACCCCTTTGTGTGGGACTAAGGCCTAGACGAGCCGGCTGCGCCTCCCATTCCGACAAATCAGCCGAAAACATCGTCTGCTTGGAGGACTCGGGTGAGCCTGCGGCAGACTGGCGGTTGAGAGGCGCCTCCGATCCCGGCGACCGGCGTGCCCTGTCACGCTGCTTGTCACAGAGCACGGCAGCAGTCCTGGAAGCAGTGCGCCACACCTGACCACAGGTGGCACGGCTGCCCTGCCGGCCGGCCCGCACCGCCATGACAGACCTCACATGGGTCCACATGTCAGGCGGCTGCCGCATCACTGCTCAACGGTCGGAGCGGTGACGCTGGCCGAGGCTGTATCCCGGCGTGTTCGCTGCCTCACGCGTCTGCGGGAGGGCAGCTGGTTCCGCAAGATCTATTAGGCGGGATCACCCAACCTTGTCGGGTGCCTAGTTCTGTGAGAAAACTTTTCGGCGACAAATAGTTCACTTGATCTCGCCAAGACATGAGATTTGAGACGTAGCGACGACTCGGCCTTCACTTTGCTGTGCGACAGGTTTCTGCCGGTCTCTGTTATTCGACTTCGCCTGGTCGGTAGCTGCAGGTATTGGCACGCTTGACCATATAGATCTCACGGCCAGCTCAGTTTCCGAGGAAAAGAAACGGAATGGGAGGGAGCCACCGTCCGTCAGCAACCCCCCGGGTGAAGCCGTGCGTGCTCCCCGCACGGCTGTCCTTAGGTCAACGTGCTCGGAAAGGCATTAACACGACGCTGCGCTTGGGTTATTGGCCATTAGCGGTGTGCGAGCATGCTAATGTGGTTATTTTACCGTGCAACAATACACAACGCATATACATTTCACTTGTGTTAAGTCGCACCAACACTGGCTGATGCAACAGGGAGGGAAAGCCCCTCCATACACACACACACACACACACACACACACACACACACACACACACACACACACACACACACACACGCACGCACGCACGCACGCACGCACGCACGCACGCACGCACGCACGCACGCACGCACGCACGCACGCACGCACGCACACACACGCACACACACACACACACACACACACACACACACACACACACACACACACACACACACACACACACACACACACACACACACACACACACACACACACGCGCGCGCGTGCAAAGGCTCAGATTTTAAGCATTCTGGTCGCATGTTTGTGTAACCCCCACGCTATTCGGAGCTCCGCCCGTGGATCCAGTGTTGGATCTGCACCGACCGTGTTTATCTATGATTGAGAATTGCGGAAGGTAAAGATGTCAAACTGAGCCTCCGCCTTACGATACACCCAGTCATACGTGCTTGTCATCTATGATGTCATTCACACACGTCCCGGTCATGTGTGACACGTCAGGCATGCACGTCTCGGTCATCTATGACACGCCAGTCACATACGTCCAAGTCATAGGCGTCGGAACGTTTCCAGAGGTGGGGGGAGCCCAGGGTGTACTTCAGGAACTTTCTGGAAAGCAAGCCCGGTGACTGGGGGTGGGGGGGTGGGGGGGGGGGGGGGAGCGGGTAGAGATGGAGTTTGTCATCGTCCTTTATTCAAATGTCATGGCTGCTACACTAGATATGCATGGAAAGCTGTTTCTTACTGGTGCACAATTTTGCCCATTCGACTCATTTATGTTATTCTGCAAATAAGGCTATCCAGCAGCAGAAAAATAGCCTCCGTGAAGCTGCCTACCTTAAGTATGAACTGGCCCCACGTACACTGCATTGCTCATCAGCCAACGTAGACAGCTTTTTAAACCGATAGAATTCAGAGGCTTTGTCAGAAGTTTTTATCTGGGTTCCACAGACATTAAGGACATCGTGAAGGTAGATTAGATCGATACGTTTGATCAAAATTTGCAGATGAAAATTTGACCGCAGATGGAGCGGTCAACAATGTGTATTAACATGGCCTAGCTATGCTTGTACGAAAATGTTTGCCATTCAGTCAGAATCGATTAGTGGTACAAGTTATATAACGTGTTTTTTTAACATGGGCGCCCTCAAATCGACCACAAAACCTCCATACCAGGCGTTGCAGTCTCCACGATCCGCGGAACGTTAGTCTGGCAGCTAGCTTTTAGCCTTGACCCACCGGACGAAAATGACGACACTTCTGAAATAATTACCGTTTAACACATTAACCGATTAGTGATACAAGTTATGTGACGCAGTTTTGAGCATGCGCACCCGAAAATCTTAGAAACAAAAACCTCAACCCCATGCGTTGCAGTCTCTGTAGGCCGCACAGCGTTGGTCCAGCAATTAATATTGAGCCGTGCCCAACGTGTGGACGAAAATAGTGACGCTTCTGAAAACAGTATCTTTGAACCCTTCATGACATCAAATCTTACATTTAGAAGGCAGTTTGAGCCCATATTTCATGTGTGCGATCACTGATCTGATCACATCGACTGACCATAAGAAAAGATTGACCCTTAAAGTGGGGCTGTGTATGTGGTGGTTGAACTGGAAGAGTAAAGGCAGAATCTCTTTTTTCGTGTGTCTGTAATTATTAATCTGTCCAGAAGACAGATTAACACGGTGCCCGCCGTCTGGTGGCACTTGCAGTGGCCGAAGCCCTTCGGTTTTGCGGAAGCTGCAGCCCAGGTCGTCGATGTCCTTGATCTCGAGGTTGCGGGCGAGCATGTTCAGACCTTTTGATGTTATTTGTTTCACTAATCCATTTTGAAAAAAATGAACGTGCTCACGCAAACGTGGGATGGCCTTGCTCGTTTCGTAAGCTCATTTCGACCCACTTTATTCAACAATAATGAGACCCCAACTCTACTCAACAATAATGGGACCCCTTATTTCCCTCCGGGCAAAGGGCCCCTTGAGTAAAACACCAGGGGTATATTACCATTTCCGGTCAAGGGGGCTGAAAGGCCATTCTGTCCCATCGGGAAGCGTCTTCTGGCTGTCGTTCTGGCGACAGAGGCAGGATCTCCTGGTCGATCCGGAGGCCATAAGAAGGATACATCATATCGCATTGTTCAGAAGGCCTCCCTGACACGTGAGGCCTTCTGACCCATGCAGTTGGCCCCGGATCAGCACAGGAACCCTCATTGAGCCAACAACCTTCCTGATCGCCGCAGGTGGTACAATAATTGTCACATGAACTTAAGTTCCATGTTTTTCTATGTTCTTCAGAAATTTTGAGGACCTCTGAACATAGATTGTAGATGAGAAGGGGGCCCAAATTTATACAAACACAGCTAATCTACGTTTATCTTAAAATGTTTAAGATTCAGTCAGAATTTATTACGAAAAAAAATGCTATGAAGTATGGTTTTAAACATGCATACTCGCAAGTCGTAGCAACAACAGCCTCGACGTCCGGCGTTGCAGTCTCCATGGGCCACACGGCGTCGGCTTTGCGGCTGTGACACTAAGCGATGGCCAATGAGCGAACGAAAGAGATGACACACCTGAAGGAAGATGGCTGGTGAAACATGGAAATCGCCATGTATGTTTAATGTAGTGCAAAAGTAAGCTAAACACAATCTTAATCTGAAAAGTGTGGGGGGGTCCAGTTGACGCTGCTGCCCCCTCCGCCACCTTGAAAAGTGGGGAGGCATGGCTCCCCTACCCCCCCCCCCTGTCCCTACACCCATGGTCCCAGTCATCTATGATATGTCGGTTACACACGTCACAGTTATCTATGATATGTCGGTCACCCACATCTCAGTCACCTACGAAACGTTAGTCACATACGTCCCGGACACCTATTGCCAGTCTAACACGGCCCAGTCACCTATGACATGTCGGTTACACACCTCACAGTTATCTATGATATGCCGGTCACACTCATCTCAGTCATCTACGACACGTTAGTCACACACGTCGCGGTCATCTATGACACGCCAGTAACACACGGCCCAGTCATCTATGACATCTCGGTTACACACGTCCCAGTCAGTCATTTATGTTATGTCGGTCACACACGTCCCGGTCATCTATGATATGGTCACCTGTCAGATATCGAAAGAAGATTCTCGGATGATGGCCGCTCTCATCAGACAGGATCACGCGTATTTTCACCCATGGGCAAATGGCCATCTGGAACGTCTGAGCGTGTTTGTCGTGTCTGCCCCCGCGCGCTCCGCTTCCATGACGCGGCGCTCTCAGTGCCCCCGCGCGCTCCGCTTCCATGACGCGGCGCTCCCAGTGCCCCGCGCGCTCCGCTTCCATGACGCGGCGCTCCCAGTGCTCCCGCGCGCTCCGCTTCCATGACGCGGCGCTCCCAGTGCCCCCGCGCGCTCCGCTTCCATGACGCGGCGCTCCCAGTGCTCCCACGGAGCGGACATGCTGCAGCGCCCCTCTGTCGCACTCCACAGCTCCTTTCCCCCAGCCCTCCGTCTCCAGTCACTCTCGCCATGGCGGTGTCCTGTTTTGCGACGGGTTCGGTTTCCACGCGCCTGCCGCTGTGCGCTACCGAAATACGCCGAAGGGCGTGCGCCGGCTGCTGCGGCGGCGGTGCGTCCCTTGTGTGGGGGAGCGGCGGCGCGGATTTGACGGGGGGAGGGGAGGAGAGCCCGCATCTGGGGCGGCCGCTCAGCTGTCGCCGCCTCAGCGGGGGATGCCGCCGCCCGACGCGCCGCACTCACACGCGGCGCGAGACCCGGGCACAGTGGCGGGGGGCGGGGCGAGCGGGGCGAAGTGGTGCGCCTGGGACCAGCATACAGAGTCGAGCCCTCGGAAGAAGGACCGTGCCGGGTGACAGTCCCCGGGCCAGTCGTGGCTTGTGTGAGGCCGTGTGCGCATCTAGCCGACGGCATCGACTGAGCAGCGACAGGCAACCAGTCCCCACGGCCGGCAACGAGCTCCCTCCCGCTGAGGCGGCCGCGGCGCGCGAGAGAGCGCACGCCTCGGTCAGCTGCGAGGCGTCAGCGCCGCCGCCCGTCGGCACGTCCGCCGGCCGTCGGAGGCGACGCTCGTCGACACCGTCGCGGCCCGCCGCCTGAGCGGTGCACCTGCCCTCTGGCGCCGGTCTATTTTTAATCGGCGCCTTCTGCCCGGCCGCAGCGGCCATGGTTGTGCGAGAGGTGCTGCTGCCGGCGCGCCGAGGTCGGTCGGACGCGCCGCACCTCACTCCGCGTCGGACGCCACTCGCCATGACTGGTAAGGTGCCGCCGACCCCGCGCCGACGTCCTGACTACTGAGCCGGACCCCTGTCCCCTGGCGGCGTTTCGGTCACGCTGAGTTTGTCCGCCCGCTGTTCGTCTTGAACAGGGCTTCATGTAGCTTATGTCATTCAAAGCATGTTGCTTGCTCTTCTTGGCTTGGCTTATGGATACGTTAAGGCTTTCCGGGAAATCATACGCAGCTTCGCGTTTTAAACAAGGCTCCACTTTCGATGTGCCGTGTTGTTTAGCTTCTTGCGCTTCGCCTTGGCAGCCATCCCGCTGTGGCTTGGCGAGGGCGCCGCTGTCCAGGCTCCGGAGCGCCGGCCTGTGTGCGCCCCTCACCCGCCGCCGCCGGCCCGTGCGCGCCTCTTACCCACCGCCGCCGGTTCCGTCCTAGCCAGGGGCTTGGCTTGCAGTTCCGCGGCAGCGCCGGAAGCGATCTGTATCCGGTCACCTGGTGGGATCAGCTGGGCGGGCTGTGATCGGCCGGCCACGCGATGGGCGCCCACCTGGCGCCCCCCCCCCCCCCCTCGTCCGTCCGTGGGGACCGGGCCACCTGGCCGGCTGCCGGTCCCTTTGTGATGTCTTCCCGCAGCTGGCGGGCGGGCGCGTGCTGTGCGGGTCGGCGCACCAGGCCGGGGCGGCAGCGAGGCCGCTCGCCCACGCGCGGTAACACGCTGAGAGGGACCGTGGTGCTCTGCTTCCAGCTAGGGAGGCGGTGGAGGATCGCCCGCATTGCGGTGCTCTTGGGAAGCACGCTGGAACGGGCACGGTACGCCCGACTCGCCCTCGTTCTAAAACGCACCAACGAAGGGAATTTCCGGATGATCGAAAAAATTGGGTCACAGCGATCGGAAAAAGTAGCAGAGCGGTGTAACGCAGAACGCACGCCACGGAGCTACTTTAAACATGTGATAACCTGCCACCTATACTCTACTTCCAGCATGGCATATGCAAGGGCTTTACCACAGGTGAAGGTGTCCTGCCTAATTTTGCTGGAACACTAGATGGTCCCCCAACTTTGTGGAGACTAGTCAAACTTTTGCGGAAGCAAAATATTTCGGAAGCAATGGGAAAAATAACCCACCCTTAGTGACATCAAATTACATTTTACAAGTCAAAGGCTGCGTTAACCAACTTTCTCTTTCCCAGTGTTTTTATCGATCTGCTTATTGATAACCATTTGACGTTAGATGCGGTTCCGTGCCAAACGACGGGAGGTCGCGCAGAGAAATGCCACCTACGCCTCAAAAGGGGCGGAAAGTTACAGCTTTTCATGGCGGTTCTACAATGATCGGTGCAAGGTTTTCAGGCCATTTACTGCTGCAGCGAGTTATTGCCAGCGTTATGACTTTTGTATCTAAGGGCTGTGTATCTCATAGACTATGAATCTAAGGCTAAGGGCATAGCTTTCCAGTTTTGGTAGCTGCGGGTGTTGACTTTTGCTAAACAGCAGTTAATCTGGCACGATATCGATAAAGACCGCGACGTGCGAAACTGCCATGGATTTTTCCATGAGCTGCATCATTTGCAGCCATCGAAGTAGGCTAAATCTATATCATGGCCATTTGAAGTTATTTTGCTGATTTTCAGACATGGACGTTGAAGACCAGGGAGAAAGCTCATTCTGGAGCCACACTGCGACGGGCTTTTGTGTAAACAGAAACGTAAAAGTCGAATGCTGCTTCCCAAATGTTGATCCAGGACAGAGCCTAGGCATTAAGATCCTACTGAAACAACGCTCGACACGGAAATGCCCCACGCAGATGCTTCATTGGCGCATGCATCTGTTCCGGGCACCGTTGGCTGCAGGTCGAACTGGGGGGTCGTTCCTTATTGCGGCCATACAAACGTTTGCGTTCAGATACCGGTGCTTGTTTCCGTATGACGCTCCGCAAACAACTTTCCCGTTCGTTCCATTTATACACATGATGCAACACTACTAAAAAAACTTTCTGCAAACACATGCGTATGAGGATATGCACAATCCAGCCGTAATTAGCCAGGCATGGTAGAATGGCCATGATTCATCGCTGTTGCAGCTTTTTTATCCACACACCTAATACTAATATTTTCTGCGTTGGTCGTGGACAATCCAGAGACGAGGCAGGCCTTTTTGAATACAAGAAGAAGCACGTCAAGCGCGTCCTAATTTTCTACTCAAGAATGGCAGACCTATCCGACGTGCCGCCGAATTGAGTAGCATTCGCAGCACGTTGATGAGCTTGAATCTCTAACGGCCCAGATAAACGATAATACGTCCACAGTCTGGTAACACTTGGCTTATTACATCTCGGTTCAGATTCGATCCCACTACTGCCCTTTTCAAACGAATGTGCTAGTTTTTGAAAGTGCTGGACCATGTGCTCCGGACGGTGTCATCTGTTCGGGACATGCGACATTTACACAGCTGTCCACACGACCCTCGGCTGTTCTAAGGCTCGGGCTCAGCTGTTCACGGCGATCAGCTGTGTGCATGCATGTAAATCGTACCGCCTTATGTACATGCCCTTTGCCACAGCGGAGGAGGTGGCAAACACAGAGGATTCCATGGTGGTGGTGGCCGCATAATTCCTCAAAGATACGAACAAATCATGGCGATGTGTGTTATGTTCAGCTCCGTGACTGTCATATCAAAGCCCCCCTCCCCCCCTCTCCCTCTCTGGAACGTCCTCGCACACCTGTTTTGTCTGCACGGGGCCTTTAGTTTTTAGGGTAATGAAAGCTTTGATCAAAGCACTGTTAGCAGGTGATGTCCAATTGCGATGTACAATTCCGGTAAGTGTGCTTCTTGTTTCGCTTAGCTCCGTCAGATTTTTCATCAAAACTCGGGAGAGGCAATCTGTAATCTGCGTTGCAGAGGCGGTGTGCCCCCCACCCCCCTCTTTCCCCCGTCACCACTGACGCGCTTCTCCGTCCGTGACCCACCTCTCCGCTGCACTCTCGGAAGCCCCCCGCCTCACGCGTCAGATGTGACGCGGCTGCCCGCCCTGCCCGCAGAGGTGTCAGCCGTCGGAGCCGACGCAGCCGACTGCGTGTTAGCCGCGCACCGGGACGTCGACGCCGACGCCGCCGAGCCGGTCGACGCGCCGTCGCCGTCGCCGTCGCCGGAGTCCCCCAGTCCGACGTCAGCGGGCGAACAGGACCCGTCGTCGCAGAAACGTGAGCCGGCCGCGACCGCTCGGGCATGCCGGGTCCTGTGTCAGGGTCAGCGCGCACTGAACGGGCCTCCTGGATGTTAACTGCTTTACTCGTCTACCCGAGGCGCGCCTGCGGACGCATTGTGAAGGCACGGTGCTGGCAATATGAAAGAAAGCCTGCGTTTCGATATGTCGAGTTACTGTCCGAAACTTTATGGGGCATTTTAATTCGAAGTTCTGGGGCATGTTCTATTGCAAAGGCATTTGGGCCTGTCTGGCTAAACGCTTATTACTGCGAGCCTCTTCCATCGACAACCTTCCCAACCGCACTGTAAACATTATTCACCAGCTATTGTCCGAAGCCAACAACCACAGAAGCCAAGTGGCACCTGTCAGCCCGATATTGGCCCCGCTGCCCGGCTGAGCACAGCCGTGTCTGTCGAGGCTGTTCTCCGCGGTCAGTGGCGCTGCATGCGCTGGCCTGCGGCCCAGCCGCCCACGCTCTGCATGCATGACTAACCTCTGATTGTCCGCTGATCGGACGATGCTTTGACAGTAATTCATGGCCTGGCTGGGGAGTGAGAGCACACCAGCCCCGTTGTGGGGAGAGCCCCGATAATTGCTCACCTGTCGGTGAGTGGGGTTTGCGCTGTTCCCTCGTAACTCCGCACCCTCAACTGTTGTTCAACTCAACGATTGAGGGTACCTTCTTACGCTCAACCGTTTTCGCTGAAATGTGTGGTCAACTACTCGCGAGTCAGCACTAGCAAACATAGCCAGTTTGGTTTCTGATTCGCACTGATCTTTGACTAAAAAACAAGAGGGACGTTTGGATCTTGGCTCCTGCTGGTTTTTTTGCTCACACCAGACCCTGGCTGCTGGCTCTCATTGATTCTTTTGAGAACAACACGCCTGGTGTTTTGGTTTCCATCGATTTTTCACAATCACCAGAGCCTCGTCCTCAGCAAGCGACAGATGGTGGCTCTCACGAAACACCGGAACCTGGTTCCTTATTCACATTGGCGCCACTCTCAAACACCAGCTATGGCCACCATTTGCTAGTCATTTACCAACAAACAGCTGTATTGTCTGAGTAAGAATATATCCTGTGCGCTTCATATGATATTTACCCACGGTGCTGAGTGGTATATTTGAAAGCTTGCAGAGCATATATTTTACCATTGAACTAAGTACATTTTAAACACAACAGATCCTGAAGATTATGGATAAACTTAAGACAGCTTCCGTGACACTCACAATCTCCTGTGTGATCACAAATTGGTTCCTGGCTTGTTCTTGGTTCTGGAACCAGGGGCAACCAGGCTCTGGTTTTACGAAGAATTGTTCGGAACCAAAAAACATCTATGATCACAACTTCGACAAGGATAACATTACAGACTTCACGGACGACACGTGTAAGTGTGAGAGCTACCAGATATCGTCGCAATGCACAGATTGGGTTGAGATGTCCATTAACACGCTTTTGGGTGGAGTCAAATTGACCCCCCGAAGGTTTTTCCAGAATGGTTTCCGATTTTTGGTTTCCGATTTCCAAATTTTGCATAGCTGTAGACAACTAAACAGCGGATCGTTTGGTGGCAGAATTTAGATGCACATTGTAAGGTCGCTGACGTATGGCAGGTCGAAGTCAGGTCATGGTTTCAGCAAAGTCAATTTCTAGGGAATCGTTCAATCTGATGCAGCAATGGAGTGTGAGACGAAGCCATACATCTCTGAAATGCTTTCTCAGACAGCACAACAATTGAATGAGCAAATTTCATTGACCTTAGGTCAGGTATAAAGATCAGCCCAAGGTCAAAACCAACCTGTTTCATTACTCTAAGGCTTGCAGTATGGGATAGTTTCTGGTGCTCATTTCGAATTTATTATCCGGCATGAACCGCATCCCACATCTTTCATGGACTCTATAGGTCAGAATAGGTCATTGACCTAAAATGACCCAGGTCAGCATCTAGTTTTTAGGAGCATACTGTCTAGCTTACACTTTGTCGCTTTTTCAGATGCAAAATTCAGAGCAGTTTTGTATGATTCTGGTCGCCATGACCTTCAAAAGGTCAAACAAGGTCGCTGGCCTTAAATGAGCATGCAAACTTTTGCTAGAAACAGTTATCTACATTCTGGGGACCCTTTGAAGACCAACCTGGAATTGGATCTTGTTTGACCTTATTTGACCCGAAAGTCATCACTTAGGAACCTCAAACTTTGATCTAAGTGAGTTCACGTACGGGTACCCTGTACCCTGTGAATTTGGTGTCTGTAGCTCTCATAGTTCTTGAGATCTCAGGGGTGTCAAATTTTATCCCCCCCCCCCCCCACCCGAGCGAAGGGTATCCAGCCGGCCACCCGGGCGCGTGAAATGCCTACACAGATTTCAGTGACACCTGGCTATCAATATAACTTCCTGTGGAATTTGTTATTTTGCTTCCATGCCAAATGCATCATTATGTGGCCACATTCACAATGACACAATGTAATCTTGGCAGTTATGTAAACAACCAAATTCAATGCGTTTTTTGCCGGCTAATTTGAACAAGCTTTGTTTTCAAGACTGTGGTAGGATGGTATGCTGGCTCGCGCCAGGATAGGTGACTATTTTTCTGAAAAACGAAACCGCGCAAGTCATATGCTCCTCTGTGCAGTTTGATGCGAACGGACTCGCCCGTCGTCTTAATTGTCCCCAGATTGACTAAACTCCCCTCGCCATCTGTGGGCACAGGAAGGCGGAATTCTGTCGCCTTCTGTCTAACTTGTGCTATAAGATTCTGACGCCATATGCGTGACTCAGATCAGACAGATTATTATGTCATACGTGTGACTGAGATCAGATGCATTCTGCCTTCATCTGTGTGAATGAAGTCAGGAAAATAATGGGACCAGAGCGGGCGAGTTTAGTTTGGTTATTGGGTCTTTAAGGGCGAGCGAACGTGAATGTGAAATCTGAATGTGAATCCGTGGGTCTGGCTGAATAAATATTGGTTCCTTTGGGACTAAACTGGCATGACTTGGGATAATGATATTCTGTAGTCCGTCGATGAATACATTTCCTGGATTATGTACGATCTGCGTCAGGCGCCGAATGGATCACCTCGATTTCGGCGTGACTGGGCGTGCCAGACTATAGCAGACTATGTGGTAAACTGCTGTAGCAGGCAGTCTACCACAGACCCCGGCAGACCATATCGTCAACTATTGGACCCGAGACCGATTCACCCATTTCAGAGTCTGTCCCGCGAGGATATATTCCGCCGGCGCTACAGAACTGTCTTCGCTGTGACGCCTGCTCGTGCATCTACATTGATGAGCTGGACTACTACAAACACGTTCGGAACTACCACTCGGCCAGTGCTCAGCGCCGCTACAGGTCAGCTGGCGACGGCGCCAGTCACCACCCGGCGCGCGCGGTCAGGTCAGGGCTGCCGAGGGGCACGGCTGCCGGTCAGATCAGGGCTGTCAGGCATGCTCACCATGGTCAGGTGTCATCTGGTCCTCATGGTTCCACAGACGTGCATAAAATATTAGGGGTCCACATTTGTTAGAATGGAATGAGCCAAGCCAATATTTAGTGGACAGTGTTTATTTGGCAATGCTATTGATGAAGTGATAATGATTTTGTGATGTAGTGACGTGCAGTTTAGTGGTTTGTGATTTTGTGACATAAGTAGGACTCACCCGACGGATCCTATGTCCAAATACGACATGCGTATTTGTCAGGACCGCTTGTTAACTTCGAACCGTGCTTTTTATCCCTCAACACTCACAAGGTGTTAGTCATAATCTATGTCATCTCCTGTTGAGGCTGAACTACACAGAAACGCATACACCTCGACGCTAGCGCTTTACAACACGTCCGGCAGAAATCTTAAGAACTTTTCCTGCACATGCAAAATAATAGTGCCATTCTTTCCGGTAGGAAATCTAGTCAGTGCAGAACGTGCGTGTTCTCCAAGATCGTGCCGGAGCAGGTGACGACGCTGAAGACCTTGCAGCACCAGCAGCGGCAAGTCAGCCCCGTCAAAATCAACGTCCTGCAGAACAACGTCAAGGTAACGGCGTACCTGCTCGCTTCAGCTTTGCTTCCATGAGGCGGGACCTCTATCAGGGCTGGCTGGGAGAGGGCCTACGCAGATCACTGCTGGAGTTTTGTAGGTTGCATGGGCAAGGCTCAGTCAGCCTGCAGAAAGTTTTGAGACAAGTTTTGCTCTTCACAGACACTAGTACATGTCCTGCACCTCTCATGTGAGGTATCACGTTTTCCATTCGTCCGCAGTATGCGGTTTTCATGCGTGGACGTGGAGGACTGGTGGCTTGTGACCCAATGTTGGCCGAGCTCTCTCACTGACGAGAGTAAGAAGTCAGAAATTTGGATTACGCTAGGGACGGTCAGGTGGTGCAGAAACGAGTATAATGTTCAGGAACTCGCAGGTCATGAGTTTTACTGGTTCTTTCTTTTCATGAACCACCAAAAGGTTGAATCCCTTAAGCTGTTCGGAAATAAAAACCCGCGCCTCCCCGTTTCCCCGAACCCCTGACTGCTCTTTTGCAATGTATCCATCCGACACAGTGCTGCAAGGCCTGCTGATGCCTTCCTTGGAAGCCGCTCGGCACGGGCCCCGGAATGCCAAGTCAGTTGGCACGCGTGCAGCACAGGTTCCGGTTCGGAGGGTGGCGCCGGCTGTGCCATGACACCCCTCGCCAGCCCCGCCCTGTAACGTAAACAGCGCCAGGTGTGCGCGACTCCAGTACACAGCAGGGCGCGCTGGCGGCGGTCCGGAACGCACGCGATACTTTGGGTCGTGAGACGAGTGCCGCCGGTCCGGGACGCGGCTATGCCAACGTGCAGGTGTTGGGATATGGACCGAGGAAGATGCCGACCAAGATCTGCTGTCAGTTTTTGGAGGGCATGCAATAACATTTGCCGCCAGGACGCCAGAAAGCTACCAATCATCATTAGGGATGAATGGGATGTGTGTGGCGGTTTGAAAAGGAACTCGAGCTCGAGCTTGGAGGATTCAACTAAGGCATGATAAGTTATTTTTCTACATGGAATAGGTTGCTTATACCGCACAAGATCGCATGCAACGTTTTCCAACCGATTTGATGAGTGTAGTGATTGCGGCGCCTGTTTCTCAGAGCCGCTGGAGTCGCATGTTCGCCAGCCGTCTGCGTGGTCAGCTGACGCCATGAGCAGCGGTCTTCGCGCCATCGACCCCCGCCGAGTGCCGCTCAAGAGCAAGGTCAAGATGCAGGCCAGCCTGCAGCCGTTCGTCGTGCAAGAGCTGGACGCCAAGATGAGGGCGATGAAGCGGCAGCGGGCGACGCCGGGCGACGGCAGCGCCACCTGTTGCGGCGACGGTAGTGACATTTGCGCCGGTGGCGCCACGCTGCGGGTGAAGCAAGAGCCGGCGGGCCTGACGGAGGCCGAGTGCGCGGCGCTGCTGCAGCAGGTCGAGGTGCGGATAAAGACCGAGCCCGGCGAGCTGGAGACGTGATGCCCTGTCGGACGAGCGTCGCACGCGCCGTGTGAGACTTCAGGACCTCGTGTGACGTGTGCAGTGGTCGGGACGAGCTCAGGACGCAAGTACCCGCCTGCCGACACCGCTGATGTCGGCTCCACTTTAGCTACGTCACGTTCTAGTCAGTTCCATTTGAAATGTGCTTCTGGTTCTTCTCCGAATGCGTTGTGTGCCTTGATGAAGGCTCCAGGCCTTGATAAGGTCACTTGTTTTTCAGTGCCTGAACATGGTCTTCCACTGTAAGTGCCTTCTACCGCCTTCATTGATGATAAAGTGGTATGCCACTGAAAACAAGGAAGAGGATCTGGACCCATTTTTACAGGCTTAATGAGTGTGGTTTCCTTCAATCAATGTACAAAATATATTTCGCAGGTTGCGTTTTGGGAGGCATCATCGGGTCCGAGAATTGCCAGTCGACCCCTGGTCTCGTGCCGGGAGCGCATCTCCTGACTGCGAGGGTCACCGGCTGGCGATTCATTGCTGGTCGCCATTTCCTCTGAACAGGTCACCGGCTGGCGATTCATTGCTGGTCGCCAGTTCCTCTGAACAGGTCACCGGCTGGCGGTTCACTGCTGGTCGCCAGTTCCTCTGAACAGGTCACCGGCTGGCGATTCATTGCTGGTCGCCAGTTCCTCTGAACAGGTCACCGGCTGGCGATTCATTGCTGGTCGCCAGTTCCTCTGAACCCAAAGACAACCGAGAGCGATTGACGGCGAGATATATGAAGCTGCGGCGGAGTGCAAGAAAAAAAAACCAGCAGAGCCACATGAAGTACAAAACGTCGCGTTAGGAAAGGAGCCTGGCGCGAATGATGCGAGAGAGCACAAATTTATTGTTTCATCCCTGCACCTAGTACATGCCGTTGACACATGAATCAAGAAGAGGAACCCGCACCCTGATCGCGACCAGGACACTCCCCGTCAAAGTGGATGACTGGTTAGGTCAGACCCATCACTCGCCACCGACATGACCTTTCCGGCCCCGTGACTTCCCGTAAACAACGAACACCATCCGCAGACAGTGACATCAGCAGCGCGGCGAGCGACCTTTCAGGTGACACGGCTGTGGTGTCGAGTCGTGGGTCAGAACTGCGCACGCCTCGACAGGGTCCGGACCGCGGCGTAGACACGACTGTTCAACATGCGCGTCTTGTGTCTGCTCTTGCTGCTCAGCGTTACTATAATAATGTTCGCAGGTAAGCTATTCCAAATGCCCCAGACGTATCTGTGCCATAATAGATGCATATTATCTTTGCTTCACCGCAGTGTTATCTTCCATCTGCCACATGAGGTCCCTGCAATGTGTACAAATGACCTTGTGCCAAACACGTATCTATGCAAGACAACCGTTGCTGTATAATGACAGAGCCATGAGAGGAGAGAAAATTGCTCCATTTCCCCCTGAGGGGCTTAGGGTCAATGGGCCCCTGCAGGGCAAAAATCTGTGGACACCTGTCTTGACAAAGTGACTATAATAATGCCGAATGGGCCGCTAACAAGCTTTTCGGAAGCGTCTAGGACCCCTGGATCGACCGGAGCACCCTGGTCAGTCGGAGATTGGGTTCTTTACTAACTGGAAAGGAGTCTGGTGAGCCTTGCAAGAAATCGTTCCCCCCCCCCCCCTTAGAGGTTGAAACCATTTGAGAAACACTCGCTACTCTTGCGCGAAGTCCTGGCGGCGTGACTTGTGCTCGACGTAAAAACGTAGTAAAACTCACTGCCTGCTGCATTGGTACTCAGGGCTGCTCGTGGCACACCCGGTCAAGAGCCCTGACACCTTTGACTTTGTAAGTCGTTCCGTTGTCTCTTTCAAATGGCGTTAGGTGGGGTCACTTGCGGGCGGCGGAGAAAATGATACTTCTACGAGTGGGACTGCTGCGGGCTTGGACATCTTTGCCACTGCCTGCGGGCTGGGACACCTTTGCCCCTGCTGCGGGCTGGGACACCTTTGCCACTGCTGCGGGCTGGGACAACTTTGCCACTGCTGCGGGCTGGGACACTCTACGAGCGGGACTGCTGCGGGCTGGGACACCTTGCCCCTGCTGCGGGCTGGGACACTACGAGCGGGACTGCTGCGGGTGGGACACCTTTGCCCCTGCTGCGGGCTGGGACACCTTGCCACTGCTGCGGCTGGGAGCACTCTACGAGCGGGACTGCTGCGGGCTGGACACCTTTGCCCCTGCTTGCGGGCTGGGACACTACGAGCGGGACTGCTGCGGGCTGGGACACTACGAGCGGGACTGCTGGCGGGCTGGGACACCTTTGCCACCGCTGCGGGCTGGGACACCCTTTGCCACTGCTGCGGGCTGGGACACTCTACGAGCGGGACTGCTGCGGGTTGGGACACCTTTGCCACTGCTGCGGGCTGGACACTCTACGAGCGGGACTGCTGCGGGCTGGCACACCTTTGCCACTGCTGCGGGCTGGGACACCTTTGCACTGCTGCGGGCTGGGACACCTTTGTCACTGCTGCGGGCCGGGACACTCTACGAGGGGACTGCTGCGGGCTGGGACACCTTTGCCACTGCTGCGGGCTGGGACACTCTAACGAGCGGGACTGCTGCGGGCTGGGACACCTTTGCCACTGCTGCGGGCTGGGACACCTTTGCCACTATTCGCGGGGCCGCGCGCGCCCCACCGCCTACCGATGCCGTTGAGCTGTCTGAGTGAAGTCAATGGGATCCTGGGATGGGAAGCTGCACCACAGCAGTACTGGGATGGGAAGCTGCACCACAAGCAGCAAGCGCAAGTGTCACGAGAGGCCTGCTGTGAAGTTACCGATGCCCGCTGTCTACGAATGTTCTGAACGGCTTGGGGTTTTACAAGAGGGTGTACACAGCCATATAGGTTTGTGGTCGTTTATGTTCACAATGCTGCTGACATCATAAAGATTTCCTTAAGTTTTCTCCGATCTTCTCGACAATCCCCACGAGCCATGCCCCGCCTTCGTTGCCCTAATTCATGTGATCTGTTTCGGAGTTAAAAGTATTAATTTCTCCCCCTCCCCCTCTCTCCCTCTCCTCTCATCTCCTAGTTGAGAGGATTCTCTGGCCGATCCAGTGGCCTTCGACCCTTCAGAGAAAACGCACAAGGTGCTCATTCATCATCACCCGCACTCAGTTATTAGGTCCGTATCTATCAGATTGAATGTTCTCGTCTGGAGTGGCCCGTGGCCACCACGCCCCTAATGGGGCGGATGGAGCAATCGTCCCCATGACTATATCGTTAGATGTTACCCAGCAACCTGTGTTTTGTATCCGTGCGTGAAATGGGGTGACTTGTTATGTACATGAGAATGATGACATCGGGCAGATGGAAGATAACACAGACAATAAGGCAGAAATGCATTCGACCATGTGCGATAGTTCAAAAATATGTTTCAAGGTGTAGGACTGGAAACACATTACATGCGCATGCAGGTCACCAGTCAGAATACCTCACGTCAACTACCTCACTCTCTACCTCACCAGCGCCGACTGGTCACCAGTCGAATACCATCACGTCAACCACCTCACTCTCTACCTCACCAGCACCGACTAACGCACCGACTGGTCACCAGTCAGCATACCTCACGTCAACTACCTCACTCTCTACCTCACCAGCGCCGACTGGTCACCAGTCAGAATGCCTCACGTCAACTACCTCACTCTCTACCTCACCAGCGCCGACTGGTCACCAGTCAGAATATCTCACGTCAACTACCTCACTCTACCTCACCAGCGCCGACTAACGCACCGACTGGTCACCAGTCAGCATACCTCACGACAACTACCTCTCTCCTACCTCACCAGCGCCGACTGGTCACCAGTCAGAATACCTCACGTCAACTACCCCACTCTCTACCTCACCAGCACCGACTAACGCACCGACTGGTCACCAGTCAGCATACCTCACGTCAACTACCTCACTCTCTACCTCACCAGCACCGATTAACGCACGAACTACTAGCAAGCCCCAAGACGCTCTTTGAACTGCAGCTTTTGTAACGTACTTTGCAACGATGCGACAGCGTGTCGTGTAAATAAAGTGGAAGTGATGCCGCTCGTGAGTCCTGCTTACAATAACCAATCGGCATGCACGCATAGTGCTACGGACATGCCAGGCTAAACTCCTGCTTCAGTATATCCGTACATGTGTAAGTAAAAACATGCGCCCGTCTTCGTCCATCGCATCCATTCTCCAGCCCCGCAGCTGAATATCTGGCTACTTGCGAATACCATTTGCACTGGTTGTTCGGTGCATCATACGCTTCTGATGATTACAAACGCAAATACATCCTGAAAATAGATTAAGCGGAGCTCTGAAAACGGAAAGCTTGCCTTCCACGGATAAGGTCGTTCGACGAAGTAGGCACGCATAAGATCACATATAGATGTGTAGTGCAAATTATAATGCGGGTTTCCATCATTGGTGTTTTACGAACTGATTGGTGACGATGAGCGTCACAGCCAAAGCCTAAATGGATCTGGGATGGGTCTTATCTCGCTCGACTAGTTCCTGAGAAGAACAAATAGAGGGTTTATGTTGCAGTGTTGTTACCACTGGCAGTGAAACATTGTGTCTACTGTGTGTCACGCAAGAGAAACTGAGGGCGTGCTGCTCCGAATTACCAGATTGAATGCGTATCGATATAGGTCAAGTGGAATGAAGAGATCTAGGTCGTTATCAGTAT